TTATGCATGCATTGTACTAGTTTTCAGTAGATGTTACATCGCCGGATACACCTTTTACAAAAAAATTAATAAAATAATAAAAATTTTCTAAATATTAATATCATCCCCATGATTAATTAACAAATTTTGTGGTATTATTAGCTTTAAATTATGGTATTACGTAATCAAAATTAAGAATCTATATCATTTCCTCTCAACCATTCATATCATTTCTAAGATCAATGTTAATATCTATATCTCCACTTATGTTATTATTATCATACAAAATGAGCAACACATCTTCCTTTTCACTTTCTCCATGCAAAATGGGTAAATTTGGGTAGGTTTTAGTGAACTGGGTTGGGTGACCCGGATTCGACTTGAAATATATATATATATTATCTTTGGCCCAAATTAATAAAGTTGTATCAATTTGTATCTATATTTTTAAGGATACAAACGGATACGTATCGTATCGTAGCATATATATCAATGTATCGAAAGGTTTAGGATACAGTCTCTGATACGTATCGTTAGCGACACGTATCGAATCATATCATAGGTTACTAACAACCATGGTTTTAGATACACTCTCTGATACGTATCGTTGGTGACCCGTATCGAATTGTATCGTAAGATATGTAACGCGTATCGTAGGATACTAACAACCATGATGCTTAAGAGTACAAGAACATGGTTGTTAGTGTCCTACGCTATGCGATAAGTATCTTATGATATGGATCGTCAACGATAAGTATCTTATGATATGGATCGTCAACGATACGTATCAGAGAGTGTATTTTAAACCTTTCGATACGTTGATATGTATCTTACGATACGATATGTATATGTTTGTATCTTTAAAAATATCGATACAAATCGATACGACTTTATTAATTTGGGCCAAAGGTCCAAAAAAAATTTCAAGCAGAATCTGGGTCACCCAACCCGATTCACTCATTTTGCATGGAAAAAATGAAAATGAAGATATATTGCCCATTTTGCATAATAATAATAACACAAGTGGAGTTATAGATATTGACATTGATCTTGGAAATGATATGAATGGTTAAGAGGAAATGATATTAATTTTTATTTTTAATTATGTAATACCATAATTTAAAACCAATGATACCACAAAATTTGTTAATTAATCATGGGGATGATATTAATTTTAGAAAAAATTTATTATTTTATTAATTTTTTTGAAAAAGGCATATCTTATGATATGATACGGAATATACAATTTAAAAAATTAAATTTTTAATACACGATACAATATACGATTTGACAATCATGTGCCAGAAAAACCCAAAACGAAAGGAATTTTGTAGGCATTTAAAAAAGTGTCTTTGAAGCAGCCTGGATCGTGCTGATTTCAATCTAAGAACATGCCCAAAAAGTCAACAAAACTCAAGACATAGCCGGCCAAGTGGCCAACTACCGAAACTCAAGAGTTCAACTATGATTTTTTGGTTATTTTATGACATTTATTGAATCAAAATTTCACCAAAATGGTATAATATAGTTAATGATTGCAATAATTTTAATAAACAAGTAATTTTTTTTAGTTGAAGTTATTTTCAAGAATCAGAAGCTAAAACGACATCCAAAATTTCGGTTCCCACTTTCTCGTTAATTTGATCATGCTGCACGGCTTTATTGACAGTTTCCATTGAACAAGTTTACACGCCATAGTAGTAATTAATTAATTAATAATTTGATTTTATTGCCTTTCAAAGTTCCAAACAAGTAAACAAAATTATATCATCTTCCTTTAATTATGTTAAATTTATTAATACCAACTTAAGTTAACTCTTGCATGTGATAAAGACTCTTAAATGTATTACTCAAGAAGTCTTGAATTCGATTCTCTTTAATTGCTAATAAGGATGACCACTAGAGAGTTTATACGGTCGTTAACTTCAGGACTTCTTAAGATTAGTCGAGGTACACGCAAACTAGTTTGAACACCCTCGATCATTAAAAAAAACAAAGTCAACTCTTGCATGCGAGATTTGATAAAATTTTGTAATGATAAAAATGAAAAAGGTTGCAAATTTCTATCAATTATCATAAGCAGGAGTTTTAATTCTAAATTTTAGAAGATTGTAGATGTCACTAAATGAAACAAATTGTATATGTAAATTTAAATTATCTAATTTAAATTGTAAGATAATTTATACATTCGAGTTATCCACGACTTTGAAAAAAAAAAATACTTTAGCTTGTGAAAAAGTTACTTTATATGAGTCAATAACAAAACTAAAGTATTTTTTAAATTTTAAAAATAAATAAATGAATTATATTACATATACAATTTTTTATATAAAATTGAAGCAATTAAGAAATATTACCTTACTGTATTATATTTTTTTAATCAGAATCCAAAATAAATATAAACTATAAGATGAGTTTTCTTTAGGTCCATGATTTTAAAATAGTAAATAACAAATTTTATTTTATAATTATTGAAAATATATAATATATACTTTCTTTTTTTTTTTTCAATCAACATGAGGAAATTTATACATCAACCCATGTCCTACTAGTACATAATGCCGCAAATTATGTATTGGACCCATATTGACATGTGAATACAATACAATAATTAAAACAACAATCAATTTGCTTTTTTTTTTTTTTTTTCAATTTCAACTTTCAATTAATCGAACGTTCACTTTTCATTGGCACGTCAACAATTTCCGGAAGGAAGCATCTGAAAATCTTATTTTGTTTAATATATTTAAGAATCGATCCCAATAAATTTGAATTTAAATATTAGTTTTAATAATAAATTTAAATGCCCATCTCTTAGAATCTTATGTATCTCTTCTTTTAAAAGCAAAATAAAAAATTAATCTAAATCTTATATATTAAATGTTAAGGGGCAGTCCAGATTATTCTTCAATCTAAGAACATGCCAGAAAGTCAACAAGTTAAAGCTTAAGCCAATAGCTGTCCAAATTCAGAAACTGATCAAGATTTCAACTCTTTTTTATTATTTTAATGCATTATTGTTTCAGAATTCACCCCCCAAAAAAAAAAAAATATATATATATATAATAAATTGAACTTAAACTAGTAATTTTTTTAATACAAGTTACTTTCATGCATCCCCAGTTCTCACATGACAATGTAAAAATATAATATTCGACTTTAAAGTTCCAAATGAAAGGGAAACAAAAATTTCATAATATATTTCCTTGAATTTTTTCAGATTTTTAAGACAAACGTTAAGATAATACAAAAATTATATAAAAAAATTATTATAAATACAAATTATTTCATATATAAAAATTGATGTTATATAAGTTAAACGAAAGAATGAATATTATAAGTCAACTTAATGAAGGAGAAAAAAAAATGTGTTTATTCTTTGTTTTTCTTGTAGTGTATTAAAATTCTCCAAAATGACGTCGTTTTAGCTTGTATTATATACAATTGGCATAGTCAGTTGCATACAATGCCTAATTTTTTATGGCTATTATTGTAGAGGTTTTGCATAAATATTTTTTTTATTGTCAGGAGCATACTATCATTTTATAAGACATGTACAAAAAATAGATTTTTATGATGAGATTTTATTATTGTGGTTCCCCCCGGCCGAAATTATGTTTGACCCATACAAATTGATATGTCATAAAATGAAGAGTAAACGACTTTTTCCCACCCAAATAGTGGCTTAATGACACTTTCCCACCCACAGACTTTTAAAATGTCATTTTATTGCTTAAATTTGTATTCTGTTTTCGATTCCATCATCGTTACGACCCTATACCACAATCATTCTCTTCTCCAATCATAACTAACCAGAACCCCTCAAACCCTACTCCTGTCGACCCCCTCAATTACTGACAATCGAGCGATTAGCGTTTGCGCAGCCATCCCTCCCAAGTCAAATTTCGATCAATCCCAACCACCAAAATTAAACCTTCCACCATTAAAAGATTCATCGGTATACCTTCTTCAAACCCCTAACAACTTGGTCTAAGTTTGTTTTCTGTTTGCCTCTGGAATATAAATTTGGGTAGTGAAGTGGTATTTTAAAAACTTGTGAATGGAAAAGTGTCATTAAGCGATTATTTGGGTGGAAAAAAGTCATTAACTCTAAAATGAATGGATAAATAGATATCAATAGATGTTTAATAAATATAAATGAATAACGTGTCAATTAAAAAGTAGCGTCACATCAGTACGTGTTAGGGCAAAAAATCGTCCTCAACCTAAATAGGAAAACGGGTCTGACAATGAGGAAAATCTGGGCCCAACCCCGATGCGGCCCAATCCAAAACTCACCAGATTAGGCCCAAGTAATACGAGGTATAGTCGGCCCAAACCGTCTGGACACAAGCCTCCTAGTCCATGGTAACTCAGTGAGGGATAGAAGCCAACCCCGACCAGATGAGAGCGATCCTCAGTATACCATCCCCAGCTTGCATAAAAGACATCCAACGCCTGGCAAGACGAGTAGCCACCTTGAGCTGATTCATCTGCAGATCCGTCGACAAATGCCATCTTTTCTTCCATGTGCTCAAGAAGTCCAACAAGTTCGAGTGGACCCCTCCTGCTAGGAAGCCTTGCAACAGCTGAAAAGGTACCTGACCTCCCCTCCGCTCCTTTCCAAGATTGTGGATGGGGAGAAGCTTTACACTTATTTGGCAGTCTCAGAGACAGCAATCTCAGTAATGTTAGTTCGGGAGGAGGATGCGAAGCAGCTACCGGTCTACTATGTCAGCAAGTCACTCCTCAACGCAGAAACATGGTATAGTTAGCTGGAGAAACTGGCCTTCGCACTCATCCATGCATCTAGGAAGCTCAGGCCGTACTTTTAGTGCCACTCCATAGTCGTACTCACCTCTTTCTCACTCAAGAAGATACTACACAAACCATAGCTATCAGGCCGACTCACACAATGGACAGTGGAGCTTAGTGAGTTCGACATATCATACCAGCCTCGTACTGCGGTCAAGTCCCAAGCATTGGCAGACTTCATTGCTGATTTCACCCCGAGCACCACCATGCGAGCAGAGGAAGAAATATTATGCATGGACAGTGGGTCACCCTCCAAGTGGACTCTTTCAGTGGATGGATCAAGTAACATGAATGGAAGCGGACTCGGGTTAGTACTGACTACACCAGAGGGAGATGTCATCCAGCGGGCAATACGATGCGGGTTCAAGTGCACAAACAATGAAGCTGAATATGAGGCTCTCATCGCTGGACTCTCCCTAGCTAAAGAAATCAGAGCGAGGAGACTAGAGGTGAAGTCCGACTCCCAACTCATAGTCAACCAGCTGCAAGGTACTTACCAGGCACGCGACTCGAAGATGACAACATACTTGAACCTGGTCAAAGAACTGCAAGCCCAATTTAAAGAGTTCTTCATCGCCCAGGTCCCAAGAGCGGAGAACTCTCACGCTGATGCCCTTGCCAACCTTGGCTCAGCACTCCAATGTTCTTCTCAGTCATCCATCCCTCTGTTATTCCTGCAATGGCCAGCCAACTGAAAGGAGCAACCACCAAACAAGTTGCCCGAGGAAGCAATGGATATCGAGTTAGCCGACTGTTGGATGACCCCGATAGTGAAGTACTTAGAGCACAATGAACTCCCAGCTGACAAGAATGAAGCACGCCGACTGAAAGCAATAGCTGTCAGATTCACTATCTACGAGGACCAACTCCTCTGGAAATCATTCTTCGGTCCCTACCTCAAGTGCACAAGCCTAGAGGAGGCCGAACGTGTTCTCGTCAAACTCCATAAAGGCGAATGTGGAAACCACGCTGGGGGGACACAGCCTTGCACACCGAGTGATCACCGCTGGATACTACTGACCGACCATATGCACTGATTCGGCTGCTTATGTTAAGAAGTGTGACGGTTGTCAAAGATTCGCTCATGTCTCACACCTCCCACCTGAGCGACTCCATTCCACCCTCACACCTTGGCCCTTCATGAAGTGGGGAATGGATATAGTGGGGAAGCTACCGACCGCACCCAGGCAACGAATCTTCATGTTGGCTGTGATAGATTACTTCACTAAGTGGATCAAAGCCGAAGCTTTCGAACAAGTCAGGGACAGAGAGGTAAAAGCTTTTATCTGGAAACATGTCATCTGCAGGTTCGAGATACCGAAGGAAATCGTCCCCGACAACGGATCCCAGTTTATTAGTTCAGGCTTTAGGGATTTGTACGACATGTGGGGGATCAAGCTTAGCTTCTCCACCCCCCGCAACCCCCAGCCCAACGGCCAGGTCGAGTCATCAAACAAAACTATCATACAGACCCTGAAAAAGCGACTGTAGAAAGCGAAGGGTGCATGAGCAGATGAGCTACCCAGAGTCCCTTGGTCCTACAGAACTACAGCTCGCCCGTCAACAAGTGAAACCCCTTTCTCCCTCACATACGGCTCTAAAGCGGTCATCCCGGCTGAAGTATCAGTTCTGTCCACCAGACTACAATGGGCGGATGAGGAAATCAACAGCCAGAACCTTTGCCAAAACTTGGACACCGTCAATGAGCTCCGCAAACAGGCAAGCATCCGCAACGCTATCTACTTGCAATAGGTCGCCCGACACTACAACCGCAGCGTCAAGATCAAAACTTTCAAAATAGGCGACTGGGTCCTCCGCAAGGTCTTTCAAAACACTAGAGAGATCAATTTTGGCAAACTCGGGCCCACTTGGGAGGGTCCCTACAAGATAATCAAAGAAGCGGGGAAGGGCGCCTACCGACTCCAAACTCCAGAAGGCAAAGACATCAGCAACAGTTGGAATGCAATCCATCTCAAGCGCTACTACTTCTAGGTGAATTCATTCGTTTAAGTGTTTGTTTCTTTTTTTTTTTTTTTTTTTTTTTTTTTAAAGAGATGAGTGGGACTATCCACCTCTTCATAGACAGTCGGTCTTATGGCCCAAATTTAATGAAGTATTATTCAGAATTTCACATCGTCGGATCGACCTTGCTCGACCAAATTATTTTTACACCTTCAGATTGACCCTGCTCAATCCACGGAATTACACCTTTGGATCGACCCTGCTCGATCCACTAAATAACACCTTTAGATTAACCCTACTCAATCCATGGAATCACACCTTCGGATCGACCCTGCTCGATCCACGGAGTTACACCTTTGGATCGGCTTGCCTGATCCACAGATTTACACCTTCGACCGGCCCTGTCCGGTTCATGAAGCTACCCATCCAGACAGCCAGACCGAGTGAAGGGTTTTTTACACCTCAAAACTGATAAGTCATCGACCCAGCCTAGCAGAGTCTACACGACTCAGCCATTAGGCCGTACTAAAGTCACAGCACAAGCATAAGAGTTCAACCCCTAGTGTATCTACGAACAAAGAAAGCAAACAACTCATTCACTCATCAGGAAAAACATAAAAAATAGAACAGCAGGTTTTAACATATAAACAGCCTTAGGCGGCCTAGTTTAGAAATACAATAAAAGGCATACAAGCCAAGAAAGGGCATCGCAGGCCCCAAAATACATGAGCAAAGCAGAAATAAAGCTAAGTGTCATCGATGCGAGTCGTCTCTTCTATCTCTGACTCGGTCAATCCATCGCCAGCACCAGTACCCGTCCCTGCAGCCTGGTCACTCATATCCCCAATAACCGATGGTCCCGGCCGACTAGCTAAATCAAGCATCTGCTCCTCCGTATGCCCAGCCCCCTCCTCAAACATCTCTTGCATGAGTTGGACGTCCTCATCCGGATTCCAGTGGGAAGTGTTCCCGACCTTATACTTGAGCATAAGCTCCCCCCGGGCCTTAATAATGGCATCATCAGCAACGGTGAGACACTGCTCCTTGAGGGACTCAATCTCTGCAGTCTTCTTGGCTACCTTTCTCTTCAGCCTCTCCAACTCACCCTCGACCGCCTTTCGACGCTGCTGGCTCTCCTGCTTGGCCTTCTGGGCTACTGCCTCCCTCTGGCACAAACTGGTGTTCACCTTGGACACATCCTGTATCCTCTTCTCCTGCCCCACTACGGATTTCCTCAGATGCAGACTGCTTGTGAATGTCTGCACAACAAAATATTGTCGTCAGTACAATTGTGATGAACAAAATAAAATAAAACTCCTACCCTACCTGGAAAGCGCGGGAAACCCCCCAGTCAGCGGCTACAATCGCCCTCATCTGGCTCAAATGGGTCTCGTCGGCCGGGAACAGGAAGGAGTCAGCCAATTTGCTCATAGAAGCTACGTCAGAGTAGGTTGACGCAGAAGCCGGAATACGAAAGGTGATCGTCTCAGTCTCTTCATCCAAGATCGCTATCTGGGATGACCTTGCTCTGGCAGTGGGCTGACGGCTATGCGGTGTCGCCACTACATCCTCCGCTCTCCTATCCTCTCTAGCCGAGGATTCCCTCCTCCTCTTATCCCGACGCTGGGCGATGGACTCACTCGCACTGTGGACGGTCAGCTTCTGCATCAGTGTCTCTACAAGCTCAAACTCTCCAACGATTAGTAGGTTCAGCCGAGACTCACCATAAATGGTATGATTGCAATACCGAGTCAAAAGCACATCCCAAGTCTGCTTCAACGAAAGGAAAGGAATACATTGCTGAATCGCCTCTTCTCTGGCCCAGAGATGGCTGGTCTTGAGGTTGGCCTCTGCCAATACTACTCGCCAATCCTTCTGCGCCTTCGAAATGGCTAGCACCTTCTGGGTCTCCAAGTCCAAACCGTCTCTGCTCTGCCAAGCCCGATTGTACTCAAGCTCTGCAAGTAAAAAACACAATAAGATTTAGTAAACAAAGTACAAAAATAGACAAAGGTTCTCACCAGTGGCTTGCCAACTGCTCAGAATATCACCTTGGCCTCTCTCCCCAAAGACAGCTTGACCCCGCACAAAGAAATATCGATCCTTCTAGTTCTTGTCACTGGACCGGAGGTTGGTCACCAGATGAGACTGATCATGCCTGAGGTTAATCAGATATCGACCCTTCTCTTTGTCGTTCTCCTTCAAAAAATACGAGTACAACAGCTCGTGTAGCCCAAACATCACCTGGTTCTGCACACAGAGGTCCTCCAACGCCATAAGCAACCTCCAACTGTTCGGCATGATCTGCGATAGGGCAATCATGAAGTGGTTCAGCACCTCCCAAACGAGGCGAGGAATAGGCAACCTCAGCCCGTCATGAAACCACTTCTCATATACACTCACCCAGCCTTTCGCCTCCCAATCAACCCGCTCGTACGACCGTGCTGCCCGAATCTGAACCGAACTTGAAATGTGATACATAGTCCGGATTCGCCACACGTCTTTATCTTTGAGCACGGGCGGATAATCCCTGGCCAAGATCCCACTACCCTATTGACTTGGCTCCTCCTCAGAGCTACTACTGGACGTGGGTGAACTACCAGCACCTTTGGAGTCTTCCCCACTTCCCCCATGCCTGCCCGAACTACTCGGACCAGCAGCACTCTCCCCTGGGGCAACAACAGTAACACCGCTTGGTAAACCCGTCAGAACGAAGCCCTCGTGCATCATCACCATGGTCGGAGCATGTTCATACTCATTCCCAACATCTGCCACAACCTCGCTCAAGCTACCCGACTCTGAGTCCGACATGTCGACCTGTTCACCCTACTCGAACGACCGATTCAACCTTTGCCTCTGAAATTCCAAAATCCTAAGTGTCAAGCAACCACTCGCCCTAAACAACTGAACGAGTAAAACTACCGAGCTATTGCCCATCCTTCAGCACCAATCGACCTATCGTCGTCAACAACTTCTCAACCATCGCAACCCTCAACACTGATTGACCCTCGCTACCGACCAACCTGGTGCTTCTCCCGCTCGCCCCAACCGACCGACCTACCTACTTTTGAGCTTACCCTTAAGTCTACTTGCCTTAGATCATCGACTCACCAATCCAAACACTTAACTGCCGCACAACCACCTACCCGGTCTGGACGACCGATTCTTTGCTCAAGTCCTAAGCATTTCTTCCTCGCCACTCAGTCGGATAGACCGGATGACCAACCTAAGCCACTTGTAAACTCTACAAACCTGTTCCAACCTGCCACTTGATTCGGTCAGGCAGACCGACTGAGCCAAAATACCACATAATCTAATTCTATCCAGTCAAAAAATTTGAAAAACACCAAAAAACTGGGCGGCTCGCTGGAAATTCCAAAATTCATGCCTATTCTAAGAATCTGTATTCTAAACACCTCAAAACCCAGTCGAAACTACTCGAAACTTCAAAAAAAAAATTCCCTATCTTCCAAAAACTCAGCAAACAAGCAAAATAAACCAAAAAATCAGCACCAAAGAGAGAGTATTTACCGTAAAGCAACTTTGAAAAACTGCAGAAAGAAAACCTCCGCTGCTCAAAGAAACTGGAACAAAAAAGAAGAAAAGAAGACAAAAAAATTTTGTTTTGCAAAAGAATGGAGATAGAACGAGAAATGGGGAGACGAACAGTCCGCTCCCCCATTTTATTAAGAAAATTCTGACAGACGAAGACACGTGGCAGCCCACGATTGGC